GTGGCACACCCACGCACGACCCCCTGCGCTCCCCCTCTAATGGCACGCTAGCCAAAAAAGATTTGCCATCGCTGCCCTAGCTTAATTCATTACAACTCTTTCAACCAGGAAGAAGCAATAATTTTTCCAATAGATTTGGGCAAGATGGGAAACCTTTCTTTTAATGACTATTCGTGATAGTTTACAGTTGTTGGGGATTTTCTTTCTCTACTTTCTTCTGGGCATTATGAACATGGAGAAAATGGGAATATTTTCCTTCAGCTTTAATTAATGTTCCTTAACTAGGAGGTACTGTAAGAGGAAAACCATGATGGGATGAACAGTGTAAAGTTCCTTATGGTGTTTTGTATGGGATTGACATGCTTCTGCATGTGGTTGTAGAATCTTGTGTGATATTTGTCATGTAAGTTGCCAAGTTTGAATGATGTGTGAACTTCGTTGAATTGGCTTGGAAATTGGCCATGGTCATGACCAGATGTGCTGAATTTCAACTGGAAAAAATCAGATTGGGGAAGGCTGATTAAGAAAGCACTGATAGAATGGAGACCTCGTATGACCCTATACCCTTCTGCCAGTGGTAAATCATGCTGAGTATTGTGTTGTGCAGCTGCATAAGTGCAGCATTACTGCCTCACCAGATTAGAAGTAGTCTGCACTGGGATAAGGTGCAGTGCAAAAATGATTTGACTCATACTAATTACTGCATTATATAATGCTTGTTATTTCTTCTGCTTCTGATCTCTCCTTTTCCGCCTCCTGAGCTCACTTCGACAACAGCTTGATTAGTGTATGTTTTTGTGTATAAAATACTCCTTTCTCAAAGCATTGCATTTAATGAAGTGAACTCTGATCTTGTAAAGACTTTACATGGTATAGTAGTAAAATGTTTAGACTTTAACATGCTCCTCCCTCCCCAGAGTGTTTATTGTTTCAGTAACACACTGCGAACTAAGCCATAATTCTAGAACATGATTATTTGGATATAGTCCTTAGATACTTAGGATTTTTGTGAGAGACATGTAAGATTGGGCTTTTATGCGTCGGCAGTTGGAAATCCTTAATCCTTAAATAGGGATGCTGCCCTTTAATGAAGCAATAGCTAGATTTAATGCTTGTGCTCAGTCAGTGAATAATTGTTGACTTCTCCCTGGTGTCTATAGTATCATTTATGAATGGCACTACCATGAATATTTATTTATTCTTGCCTTCATGATGTATAGCAGTGATTCTCAACCTTCCCAATGCCGTGACCCTTTAATACAGTTCCTCATGTTGTGGTGACCCCCCAACCATAAAATTTGTTTCTCGGTTCCTAGGACCATAGAAAATATGTGCTTTCCAATGGTCTTAGGCGACCCCTTGAAAGGGTTGTTCGACCCCCAAAGGAGTCCCGACCACTGTTCCCTCTAAGGCCACGCACATGGCAAGAAAACACCACGCAGCAGTTTCTAACTGCCGCACAGTGATTTCTGTCACAGGCTCTGGAAGCTGAGGGGCGTCAGAAAATCTAGGGTTAGCACAGGCGCAGGGACAGTGGCAGGAGCTTACACGGCACAGCCGGTCTCCTAGGACCTCCTAGATGCCGTCTGCGCCGCTCATTACCATCAGTTGCCCCATGTTCAGCAAAGCAAATGCAGGGAAGTCCTTTGCAGGCGGCTAGAATTGGCCGCCCACAAAGGACCTCCCCAGACTTGTTTTGATGAGCACGGAGTGACTGATGGTAGTTTGTACCGGCCATGGCTGCTCAAACTAGCATCAGTCGCCCCATGTTCAGCCAAGCAAGCCCGGGGAGGTCCTTTGTGGGTGGCCAATCCTAGCTGCTTGTGCCCGGCTCTGCGGCTGAAGTGACCCCCCAAAGCCCCCGCCGCCACCAGAATATCTGCTGCTGCCTCCTCCTCCTCCAACAGGACTGACGGATTTGCCACCCGACGCTGTGGCTGAGGTGAAGCCGCCAAAGCTCCCGCCCGCACCCCCGCCCGTGGCAGTGGTGCCTCCCAATCCATGTGGAGCACCTGAGCTGGGCCCCGCGTTATCCCTCCCCCTTCCTTCTCCGCCGTGCTTTTGAGGAGCCATGAGGCCGCGGGAGCCAGTAGGAAGGCGGCGGAGGGGGCGGGAGCAGGAAAAAAAGGCCTCAGGGCTCCTCAAAAGCACGGCGGAGAAGGAAGGGGGAGGGATAACGCGGGGCCCAGCTCAGGTGCTCCACATGGAATGGGAGGCACCACTGCCACGGGCGGGGGTGCGGGCGGGAGCTTTGGC